ATGCCAAGTCCAGATAACTATCTCGTCACGTCATGATAACATTTTTGTTAACGTAGTGAATAATTCTCGAAAGGAACATTAAACATAGAAAATATACCCTTGTACAATGCGTTGTAAAGTTTGTTCCTGGATAACTTCTTATCATACAATCTTCCTCAGGATAACACGTTTGCTTCCACACACAGTTCAACTGTCCATCGCAACTGGGGCACTGGATGCCTATTAAATATTAAACGTAATCAGCTTTAAGCACAGGTATTTATGGACACTCCATTCCCCATATTCAATATTCGATATTGTTGGACATTTTTTTTCACAAAGGAGATTATTCGGTGAACATGACGAGCAAAAGGCCTATAGTGAGACAAACATGAAGGTGGAAATTGAATTTCAATTATATCATTAATATCAATTATGAGAACTTAATTCTAAATGCTAGATTTCACAATTTCATTATAATTCTGAAGCTATGGGTTTCACTCATAGTTCACTCATTGCCTTACATACAGTATATTTATTACACTTATTAATCATGTGTACCATAAGAAATCAAAGTACTGAAAGCCAGACTTTAATTGTTCAAGTATATTGTCTAATCCGAAATTAGTACGTATTTATTTCTTTTTTCCTATGGCCATTTATGTTTAAAGGGTATAAACTCCGATGTAAGTGAAAATGAAGTTAGCTTGCAACTTTACGGTGATTCTGACCAAAAACCTATACCTACATCTACACCAACATCTGAGATGCCATCCCCACTGTCAACCCGCAAACACACATTGTAACCTTGTTTGATGTAAAAACTAGACTTGTTGTCCTCCACAGGGACAAAGAACCGAAAATCAAAAGCTGGATTTCATCATTAACAACTGTTAATTGGATAAGCTTAAATCGAAATGAAGGAGCTCGAAAAATCTTTCAGAAGTCCTTCCAATTTATTTTTTAAAATTATCTAAAACCGTTTTTCCGTCAGTAAGTCTCGGAAATGGTAAGTGTTCTTTAAAAGTTATGCATTTTGACGTGATAACGTCATCGCTGCGTTTCTGTTTTTAACGTTACGATACAACTGTAAGAATCATCCCGGGAATATTTACAAACACATCATAATAATTCTAACATATAAAAATATTCTCAAAATTCTAATCTTTTGAAAAATGTTCAAATCTAAAGAAATTCAACACTCAGACCTCTCCATAAAAATCAAATCTGAATAGCAAATTTGAAATTCATCAATTTGCAAGTAGTTCACACTTTTTAAAGAAACATCTGACAGTAAAAAAGCTTTGTACTCAATGGTCACCCTACGTTCTGAAAAACAAGTGAAACGACAGCATGTAAGAATATCGGAATTATTTTTAAAGATATCCACGTTTGTTTGAAATTCAAACAGATAATGACATTTGAATCCATTGCTTTAAGCCCACAAAACAATTTTACAATTAGATGCATTTGACAAAAAACAGCAAAGGTCTGAAAAGAGCATGGAATTGCAAGAGGACAAAGACAGTTTACATGCCATTTTCTTAAATATTAGTGGTCTTGTTGTTCAAATTCTTATTCGGAAAGGCAGTTCAACTTCTGGAGGAGTCTAGAAGGCAAAAGTTTTTGCCAAAAAATCGAAAGGTTTATACATTAAATTTCTTCATGACAGCGTCCAAACCCACACTCCTTGAAGAGTAAAGGTGTTTTTGAGGATAAAAAGGTTTATGGTTTGACTTCAACAATATTTGCTTCATATGTCACCCTTTGACATGATTCAAAGTTGAAAAAAAGCGCCTTTCAGTGAGAAGAAACAAGTCTAGGAAATCATAGGATCTGCCGTGTTCCAGTATAATACGAAGGGTCATGCTCAACAAGAGGCCCAGGGGCCACAGCGCTCACCTGAGCACATCAGGCTTGAATTTACTCCACCACCACCCCCCCCCCCTCCAGGCGTTCATCATTTGAACAAACTAGAATCTACACTACCTGAGGATGATTCCATATAAATATCACTAATCATAGCTTTGAAGTACTTGAAAAGAAGATTTTAAAAGGTTTCCCTATATATCCCTATGTAAAACTTGGGTCGGCCATTTTGGCCCCACCCTAGCTCCGGGGGTAATGATTTGAACAAACTTGAATCTACACTACCTGTGGATGATTCCACATGAGTTTCATCTTTCCTGTCATAGTGGTTCTTGAGAAGAAGATTTTTAAAGATTTTTCCTATATATTCCTATGTAAAACTAGGGTCGGCCATTTTGGCCCCACCCTAGCCCCGGGGGTCATGATTTGAACAAACTTGAATCTGCACTACCTGAGGATGATTTCACATGAGTTTCATCTTTCCTGGCCCAGTGGTTCTGGAGAAGAAGATTTTTAAAGATTCTTCCTATATATTCCTGCGTAAAACTTGGGTCGGTCATTTTGGCCCCACCCTTGCCCCAGGGGTCATGATTTGAACAAATTTGAATCTACACTACCTGAGGATGATTCCACATGAGTTTCATCTTTCCTGTCATAGTGGTTCTTGAGAAGAAGATTTTTAAAGATTTTTCCTATATATTTCTATGTAAAACTAGGGTCGGCCATTTTCGCCCCACCCTTGCCCCGGGTCATGATTTGAACAAACTTGAATCTACACTACCTAGGATGATTCCACATGAGTTTCATCTTTCCTGGTCCAGTGGTTCTGGAGAAGAAGATTTTTAAAGATTTTTCCTATATATTCCTATGTAAAACTTGGGTCGGCCATTTTGGCCCCACCTTTGCCCCGGGGGTCATGATTTGAACAAATTTGAATCTACACTACCTGAGGATGATTCCACATGAGTTTCATCTTTCCTGGCCCAGTGGTTCTGGAGAAGAAGATTTTTAAAGATTTTTCCTATATATTCCTATGTAAAACTTGGGTCGGCCATTTTGGCCCCACCCTTGCCCCGGGGGTCATAATTTGAACAAATTGGAATCTACACTACCTGAGGATGCTTCCACATGAGTTTCATCCTTCCTGGCCCAGCGGTTCTGGAGAAGAAGATTTTTTAAAAATGCCATTAATTTTTAACAAATTCATGATTATCTCCCCTTGGAAAGGGGCGTGGCCCTTCATTTGAACAAACTTGAATCCCCTTCACCCAAGGATACTTTGTGGCAAGTTTGGTTGAAATTGGCCCAGCGGTTCTTGAGAAGGAGTCGAAAATGTGAAAAGTTTACAGACAGACAGACGGACAGACAGACGGACGGACGGACGCCGGACAAAATGTGATCAGAAAAGCCTTCGGCTCAGGTGAGCTAAAAATGAGTTATAACAACAATCAGAAAGTGAATAAACGGACATTGTGTTTTAATCAAGAAAAGAATATTTAAGTTAAATCTTTAAGTCTAAATCACTGAAAAGCGTTTTTGCTTCTTTCCAAGCACTAAGGACATTGATTTAACAACCCTCGTATCATCAATATGTGTGCTGTTTTTGATATTTAAGGGATAGCTGTTTATTTTTTTGATTTCATGATGTGAAAAAAATACTGAGTGGCTTGTGTGATAATTTTATGCATAAATGCATGAACTTTTCATGCAAGCCAATCGATTGATCATCATCATGAAAATTAAAAAAAATCTTGCAGTATTCTTTATATTCACATTCTCTTGATTCCTCCAATCCACTTGCTCTAAATCCCGCTTCTGTCTCTATTTGCCCCGGCACGCATGTGATTTTTTTTTTTTAACCGCGCCTATCGATGAACCTGTACATTGATGAGAAAATAAAGTCCATTAACTATTTGTAATTTTATCTCGGACAAATAAATTGGAAATGTAATTATAGTCAATTAAAGTGAGGCATGTAAATTTCCTCCACACACTGTATTTCAACCTGCTGATCTCTACCTTTTCATTTTGGGCTAGATTCATCTTTTTTGCCCGCAATCTAGTTCTGGTAATGACTGCTGGTTTTATATCGATGATTGTTCGTTTTGCAACTGATTAAGTCTGTTGATTTTACAATCAAGTCTCTTGATTTAAAGCTGTTTTATGGTACATGTATTACAATACATTTTTGAAAATGATAAAATTGTGGGTATTTTTACCATTTTCGCCGCCCTTAAACACTCTCTTTGCTTAAGGTACATTATATTGAAGACAATTTTGTGTTCTTAGATGAAACCAAATCTAAACTTTATGTGTCATTAGCAATGAGAAAATAAGGATGCTTATGAAAAAAAAGACAACTAAAGCACTTTGAAAGAGAAAGTCCTGAAGTTGTTATATTATAAATAGCAATAAAGAGAACTTTAAGCTGAATACTAAAATTCACAATTTGAATATACTTAAAGAATGAAATTTATTTCATCTTTTGTGATACAATTTAACATAACTTGGGGCATTTTACGCATATAAACCGCGAAGTTTCATTCCTTATACATGTAATTTAACTTCAGTGTAGACAATAAGACAATTTTTCCTCTGGAAAACGCTTCAAATATAGCATATTTTAAAAATAACGGAAAGCGGGGTTAAACGTTTTGATGTAACTCATTGTGACGTAGGCAAGTTATGCTATACAAAATTGATAAAATCTTTTTACCCAATCAAATGACGTGTTTATATCTAAATTCAAATTACTGTGAATTAAAGTGAGGCATGCCAATTTCATCCATACACTGTATTTCAACCTGCTGATCTCTACCTTTCATTATGGGCAAGATTTATATTTTTTGCCCGTAATCTAGCGTCATTTCAGGTAATCAATTGAAAATACTTTTTTGTCTTGTTTGCGACTAGGCTAATATTCATGACGTAACAAAATAGTAACTAATATTGTATATAATGCTTTAAGAAACTGAAGATCTGACAAATATATAGCTTTAACTAGTATTGAGTATTTAATATTTTGCCTCCTTTAAAATTTTAAAGAAATATGGTCTACATTTATAATATAACATTCCTTACTCATGCATTAACATAAAAATGAATAATTAAATCAACATATAATACACAGTATTACTATGATCGCAACTAACATACCTTGAGTAATAATGGCAGGTGTGCTAACTGTAACGGATAAATAAACTAATTATTCATTCAAAAAGGAAATGTACAATCAATCAGTCAGTCATATTAGAATTAACCAAGAATTTGAATATCATATTCAGGTAAACATATCACATTGATATCGTGTTGGTTATTTATAAAAGAAAAAAATTATATTGACTGACGCTACGCAATGGTAGCTTGATAAGAAACAGAAACATGTCGATAAATGAAAATCACCTTGTGTTGTTGTGGTTACAGGAGCCACTGACGTTGACGTTCCTTGGGCTGTCAAAAAAATACGAGGTCTTTTTTAATGAAGGATATGGAGATAACAAACAGTATTCAATATCAAAGTTCATAAAACAATACAAAACAGAAGCAGAGCAAAGACGGTCCTCTAAAACATCAGGTAGTATCGGGTGCCATGGAGGAGTGAGCATCCCCTGCCGACAGGTCACAAAGTTGATGAAGATATATTGCTGCATAAGTAAGGGAAGTTGACGATAGAAAAGTTAAAGTCATCACGTTTATGATAGAGCTTTGGTGTTAGATTACCATTAATGTCTTTTCAAGTAAAATATACAAGTATGAAGCCGATATGTCAGACTGTGTGGTATCTTTTGTGTCTAGCTCCCCATGATATATCGTATCGACACAGGAATGGAAATTACCATTGTTAATTGACAATACGCCGTCGATATATCTAAATGTTGAGTTGAAGTCCACTGCAAATGTTGTTTTTTTTTTCACGCATAAGATTTCGCACAAATTCTGCTTCATATGAATGCAAAAATAAGTCTGCTAATAACGCAACTGGTACCGATGGGAAATTCCAATAGATTGTTGGAATACCTGGTCATCAAAAGCCACACAGATATTGTCAATCAGAAACTCAAGAAAGCGTCTGACGTTATCTTCAACAGAATCCATAACATTTATGAAATTCCGATGCCAGTTGAATGATCGGGGTTTTCTATGATTATAAAATGTATGGTTGCCCTCTCCCGCCCAAATGGCTAAAATGGCTCGAATCAAAGGTTTTGTAACGCCAAGAGAAACATTAAATGTTTAAATGCAAGCCACATGCCAGCATTTTTATTGAAATCACTTATACCTACCTACCCTCCACCAACCAAATTTTCCTAAGGGCAAATAAACATTATTTAAAACTTGATCTAATTAACTTTTCGACACTCAGATATTAAAAGCAATACCTCCTTTGAAGAATAAATATATATTTCGTATATCTTTTCGCCATATCATTAATTGATATTATATATTAGATTCGAGATGTCGATCTGTTTTTCTTTGATTTTTAAATATTATGAGATGATTAATAACTTTATTTTGGAGAAACTGGAATAAGATTGCTAAACAGACAATGAAATACCTTACCCCTACCCCCCACCCCACCTCCACCCCAACCCCATCCCCCCCCAAAAAAGACACAATCACTTGATATAACTTCCTATGCTGAATTTTGAATACCTATTCCGGTCATGATTTGAAAAACAACATGCCCTTGGGCCAATTCGCTAATAACTTTAGCATCGCTGTTTTTTAACAGATTCCAGATATCTGCTGTTCCTTCTATCTTATTTTAGGTTTTTTAAGGATGACGTTTACTCAGGTTTCAGAAAACAGAAAGGAAATTTTATAAAGTATAAAATGTTAAATCAAAAATTGTTCTAAATGGTTTATATAAGCAAGTTTTAAATCGAAATCAATTTAAAAATTTGATATTTTAATATTTAAAGAAAATATACAAGTGCAAAAGTCAATGTATGGTAATGCAGAGGATATTCGAACTAAATTTTTAATTTTTCATTTTTGTCAAAAATTTTGATTTCTTTCAATAATAATCACGAAGTAAAGGATAAATGTATTTTTAAACATCATTTTGCAAATATTATATGTGTTAGAGATCATAAATTATTTCAAATAATTGAATGCTACGAAATAGAGAAATTCAAAATATGTACAAAAACCATTCCAGACAATGTATCTCAATAATTTGATCATTGACCCCTTATAATATTAATACCATGAGAATTAGGGCATCAAATGTAATCTGAGGCCATAGATAGTTTAGAGTTCTTGTCAGTCAATTTTTTGTAATACTCGATTTAAAATTGGGAAAAATATAAATATGATAGAGGAAATTCGGACTGTTATAATTATCACATTTCTGGCCCAAACTCCAATCATTTCTTTATATGAAGCAACGTTGTTCCATTGCTATAATATTACATTATTTAAAGAGTTTAGTTGCTTGTAATATTTTGTGTGTATAGAAAAAAATTGGTCATAGTGTGAAAATTTGAGGTATTTCCCAGGGGCTCAGGGGCCACTAGCATGAAAAGTAGGTCATTGACCTAGTTATTTGAAATTGAAATTTATCACAAAAATCATTGGTGTACAATGCGCAATAGGTGGTTTTTCGTTCTTATCAGTGGAATTTTTGGTCATCTGAGTAAAGGTATACCTAGCTGCAGATCTGTAGCGTTATGGTTTTATATATATTTTGTCTTTGACCATAACGCTACAGATCCTGTAATGCAAAAAGGTGCAATTTAAATAATTTTTTGCGGGTGCTTTTGGGAGAATTTCTACACTTTCAAGCATTGCTCAATCAACTACCATTCACTCCCTTATTCTAGACACATCTTGTAGCCAATATGTATATTTTATCCACCTTTCAACCATTTGTAGTTGTCTCTACGGGCAATAAAGTCGCTAGAAGTGAATTTTCAGCAATCTAACAAATAATTTTAATCATGCGAGTTTATCACTTGTAGAGACGAGTATAAAGGGTTGGGAGGTGTATAAAATATATATATTGGCTGCAGAATGTGTCTAGAATTAGGGAGTGAAAGGTAATTGATTGAGAATTGCTTGAAAGTGGAGAAATTCTCCCCAAAAGCGCGCAAAAAATATTGCGCCGTAAATTGCACCTTTTTTGCATTACAGGATCTGTAGCGTTATGGTCAAAGACAAAATTTGATATATAAAACCATAACGCTACAGATCTGCAGCTAAGGTATACCTTAAGTAAATAAAGTTAATCTCGAAGCTCCACAGATTAAATATCTTACCTCATTTATTTCAAAGTTTGGACAAAAAAGGGGGGGGGTAATGATGTCTACATAATACCAAAGAGTTTATTATTCCGTTATTCAGAAAGGCCGAGGACTAACCCAAATCACGTGGCATTTTACAGGACATGTTGTTCGATTAACTTATTTAGTAATTTTTTACCATAAAGAAGGAAGGCATGGATGAAGGATTAAAGCAAATTCCGGGAGTACAACAACACCCGTGCATGGACTTCATTTTGGTACAACATATTGTGATTAAAGTTGAATTAAATCAACAAATAAATTACAGAAAAATTAGATTATGATTAATATTGTATTGTATTTGATTCAGGAACTATCTGATAGATATGTACGTAAACAAAATGAGACTCTCTCTCTCTCTCTCTCTCTCTCTCTCTCTCTCTCTCTCTCTCTCTCTCTCTCTCTCTCTCTCTCTCTCTCTCTCTCTCTCTCTCTCTCTCTCTCTCTCTCTCTCTCTCTCTCTCTCTCTCTCTCTCTCTCTCTCTCTCTCTCTCTCTCTCTCTCTCTCTCTCTCTCTCTCTCTCTCTCTCTCTCTCTCTCTCTCTCTCTCTCTCTCTCTCTCTCTCTCTCTCTCTCTCTCTCCAAAGCAAACCAGCAAAGTAGTGTGCTTGATGCAAGTTCAACATTATTTGAAAGAAAATACCAGTACTCGATTTTTTACGGTAAACGAATTAAATGGTTTGACTATTGAAATTAGGCTGTAAAAGTGTAGTATAATTAATAATGAAAATTTGTTATATTCAGAAGCTGCAGATCAGTACCTCACTGCTCTGAAAAAAATGCAAAGAGTGATCAGAGACTCCGGTCTGTCAATAAATTATTATTTTCCGGGAACTAGATGTGTACAGTTATGCTGCTATTACGGACTATGCGTCTGTAAACGTCAGCACACTGTTTTAGCATGTCATATTGTGCTATTCGATTACTGTCGATGCCTTATTTTTCGCGAGTATTTATTATAGCGAATGATCTCTTGAGCATAAAATCTCGAGAAGAATAAGTCGCAAATTGACGGTTGGTCAAGAGGGTTTACATAGATTTCAGCACCATAAAAACAAAAACGAGTAATTTCATTTCCCGTTTTGTGCTTCTCGCGAAATTACACGATAACTAATTTCACGCATACATTTAGGAATCTACAGTAAGTACGAATGCGATGTCTACTTCTTGTTTATCCGAGAATTTATCTTGATCAATACATTGGCATGAAAAAATGTGTTCACATCTGTGTGTTAGGTGTTACTACTGAGCATTGACATTGTTCAATTATCTAGTACATATGTATGCTGTTTTGACAAACTTGGTATCTAAGAATTTTTCTGCAATGGCTATAAAATTTTGGGTTATCTGTTAATGGATGGCGGTGCCAAAATACAATACTTCCACTTTCATCTAACAGCTATATGCATTCCAATAAGCAAACTTTTTAGAACAGTGAGTAAATGAAAATTTGATGAACCATCACATATACTCGTACATGTAATATAAAGTGCATTGTATTACCTTGACAGTATCCACAGTACAGCGGACATTTATCTCGTCCCCACTGGGCGTACGTAATGCAGACAGAAGAACCATAGCTTTGACAGTTCGATATTTGGTTAGAGCAATTCAAACTACTTTGGGATAATGCTAAATAAATGTGAAAATATAAATTTAAGACAATTACAATAAGAATATTTCAAAAAAGTCGATATGCAATTCAGATAATAAATGAAAAAGCACAACTGTTAAGGTTACCTTCGCAAGTTTTACTTCTTAGCTCATTCTGAAGTAGGTGAAGGGCATCGAATGTGGAAACACAAAACACGTGTTTTGAATCTGAGGCTATATTTAAAAGTTCCTGTATGGATATTAAGTTTCCGATTCCTATTGCGAATGTTTTAATACCAGCTTTATGGGCTAAGTTGGCCGCCTGACTTGTTGCTGAAAGTGAAATGGACAGTCCGTCAGTCACAACGAACAAGACGTCGCAGGAACAGGGGCCCTGTCACCACCAATAGGGGTGAAGCTGTGCTGAATCGCATAGGTGATTGCTTCAGCAGTGTTTGTGGAACCGGACATATATCTAATCCATCCATGACATTCAATCGTCCGCCTTAATATGATGTCTTTAAGTTGAAGTTTTCACGTATTCTTGTTGCAAAAGACACTACACTGATTTGTACATTGGATGGTCCTATGTCAAACTCTTTTACGAAGTTTTTGACAAAGTTGGTTGTTCCCTAAAATGTTGCACTCCTTCACTTCCTGAGGATTGTGACAGAAGACAATGTCTCTTAGCCGGTTTCAAATGGAATCTTAAAAAGTAGATGTTTAAGATGAAGAGAACGTAACCTCAACCAATCCTTGATTTCTGAAGCAGTATTTTGAGGTTAAAAAGGAAATGACATTAAAGGCACAATGATTTCTCATTTTATGTTCCTTTATCGGATATAAAAATCATCAAATGAGAAGATGGTGATTGCAATTTAAGAACCTTTATTATTATGATTCAGTAATTGCTTTTGAAGTCAACTTACGAAGGAGAGGATTTGGTGTACTCACTGGGTTGGTTAAGAATCCATT